ATATAGTTCGCCAAGAGCGGCGCGAAATCCGCTCACTACGGGTCCTCTCTCCTAATTCTCTCATTGCACTATTTCACGCTACTTTCAGTTGTTGAGCTTCCATAAAATTACACTTGTCGGACAGTGGTAGGCCGATGTCAGACTTGTCGAATCGATGTGATGAGAGTGTGTTGCGTCGTGCGTGTCTCTGTGTGTGCGTACAGCCAATCGAGCGATCGCTAGCCGCGGCGACGGCGTGACGCTGAACGCGGCTACGGTGTCGCGAAGTCGGTGATGTCGTGTGTGCGGTGGGCGACGGACTTTTGGTGCGTCTGATCGTGTATTGCTGTGTTCGGCGTTGTGGCGCATCTGACGGTGTTGAGAAGTCTCCGCGGGCTCTACAGTGGGATTCAATACGTCAGAACGCGTGCAGATCGCGGATATAGAATCCACAAGGTTCTGCGATTCGAATTACATCCCAACGCATGGATTTTCAAAAGCAGCGGCAGAGAATAGTAGGAGAAAAAGGAACAGCAAAAAGTTGTGTTTATAGAATCAGGGCGGTGTGTAGTTGTTGGCGCCTGGTGTTTGTAAGGGGGAGGGGAGGAGGAGAGGCGGAAATCAATACGATTTGTTATTTATTTTCAACAACTAGTTGTGTTCGTGGACTAAGGACGATTATATTTATAATATGTATAGTTGCCATTTCTATTAAGTTCCCTCCTGTTCAGTCTGCCTTACGCCTAATATCTCCTCACAGACACCGTGTCCTGCACCATCTTGCAGTGAAGTTTTTTTCCGAAGCAGACTTGCTGCATTCTATTCGCCGATTCGCAGACGTTCCTGATCAGACGTCGTTGATTCCCGCAGGAGCCCGCAACACTTGCCTTCGTCCTGATCGGGCGCCGCAGAAACCCCCGCTGCGATTTTTCGCGGGACGGTTTGCCGTGCAACCCAGGACGCACCAAAGTCCCGCACCCTTGGGCCGCGTTTGCGCGTCTAAATATCGCGCACCTCCAAACTGCTGTGGTCCCCACGCTGTGCCAAAAAGCCAAAATGCGCTTTGTCGTGAATGTTTACGTATAAACAGACACAGAATGCGGTTATTTCGCTTGAGGCCGATTTCTAACTAAAATTCCTTCACTAAAATATAATATTTTCCTTCTTCTATAGCAAGCAAAGGTGAAGTGTTGTCAGCAATCATCAAAAGTATTTGCAGGACTCAATGCAGTACTCCACAAAGTACTCCAGAAGGTAGTAGAGAAGTGATCAAAGGCTTCGATTATGAGAAGCCACAACCCGAGACGCCGCGCGCCCACCTTCTGTCAGGGGTCTCGACTCAAGTGCTGCATAAACAAAGGTCGAACACAAACTCAGGGTAAAAAGTTCAGGAAAAAACAACGGAAGAAAATGACATTTTCGTTGAACTTAAGATTTCCTTACTGGATCTCTTTATTGTGATAACCGTCTATCAATCACATAAAGGCAGTGGGAGCCGAAATGAAGGTTCAACCTCAAGCGTATTGGCTTTCTCCCGACTTCGCAGCTTGAAATTGACTGCCAGACTACTAAAGGTTTCATTTCGTGGCTTCACTGTAATCACTTTTCATGTGAAAATTTGAACATTTTGATATTTATCTCGCTTATGGAGCATTCATAGCTTTGTCGATCGTAGCTGTTCTGTGTGATGGGCGAGTAGGCGAGTGGGCGATTAAGAAAGTAACACGTATGATTGGTTTGCTCCGGCCCATTTGAGCCGACTCACCTAGTCGTGGGTAACTTATAGATGTTGTCTCGATTGATTGGTTCGGGATGTGTTGTGTTTACACCAACGTTGTTCTACATTAACTTTGGAAGATGGCCGGTTTCATCCAGTAAGGGGTGGCATCAAGGTGGGTGCTCTACCCCACCCCCTAGACTGACTCCCCGTTTGCTCGTAGAGGCTTTCTGTAAAGTTACGGGCACCCGGGGCCATGGTGTGAGGTCGACAGGCAGTCGAACGGGTGGGGGGTGAGGCTGCGCACTTGACGTGCTGCGATCACAATGCCCCCCCGCCCGTAGCCGGATGGAGATGGGCGCTTCTCCCACCAACCCTGCTAGTATATCACCTTTTGGGAAAAGATTTCAGCTAAAATCGAAGATACCTCCGCACACGAAAATGAAAAGAGCGTCCGGGTCAACGTATGACACCACAAGTGGCGACCGGTCTACAAGTAAATGCCTGTATACTGATTCCAAGTGATTGCTGATTTTTGGTAAATGAATGTGATAACTGATAGAATCATCGGCAGAAAACATTTACATTCTGTGGAGGCCGTCGTCACTTGTGGTGCCTGGTCTGCATCCTAAACTTCCGTTTCTTGGAAGGGAGTATATCTTAAGTCGGGCTCGAATAAAGCGACTGATATTTTAGCGGATGCTATAGTATGTGTGAGTTTTTGGGGGGTAGCACAGTATAAAATTTCCTAAGCATCTGGCCCACTCTGCTAAACCACTAGTAAGAAATGAAAAGCCTAGGATGATGCCGAGACTTTGAAGCGGTGGAAGCGCAGGATGCAGAAGTTCGAGGACGTAGCCAGGTTGTTGGTGATCGAGGGACGCTAGGGAATGAAATAATTTTCCGCGAATCGAAAGCTCAAGTAAGAGGGAAACATTGGTTCCCTGCAGTCACCCACTGTAGCAGGTTTTGGCTATCGATCGACAGTTGGTTCCAAATGAGAGCAGTTGGGAAAACCAATTTCTAACAGTGTAAAGAAGTCATTGGAGTAGGAATGTAACCCTAGTGGGAGATGGAGGGGGCATTTGGTGAAACAGTGGACGCTGCCAACAGCAATCCTCACTTCCGCAAAAGGAAGCTTCATATCAATACGATAGCGAAAAAAAGAGAGCGACCACTTTCCAAGGAGCTCCTTTTCGACGCAAAAATGTAATAACTGGGGCTACTCCCCCCCCCCTTTCTTTGCTGATTGAAACCTGACCTCAAATATGGCTGTCGTATTGCCCCCTCCAGGCCACTAAGACAGAACTGTCGAACGGTCATGTTCGAATCAAATCCTCACACGACGCCAATACCAGACAGCGAACCGTGTACGATCGCAATCCAATCACCGTTACTGTACTACTGGCGCGCATATGATTGTGTGATCAATGATGCAGACCGCCACAACTTATTTAACGGGGACCCCAATGTGGGTTTATTCGTGTTGTATTGGATGATATTTGGACTGGATTTCGAGAATCTAAATCAGGGCTAAGCTTTATTCATTTCTCGCGCTCCTTTTTCGGTATAAGCTTAGTTGAAATTGAACTTTCAGTAGGTTGTTCGTATGTTGTGTCTCATTTGGTGCGTTGGCTCTTATTTGTCGCGTGTTTCTTTCATCGTAATCGACTCTTCTGTGGGGCGATTCTCATAAAGTCAGAACAAGCTCAGCACTTAGTTATAGATAAAATGATAATACGCACTTCCTCTCTACGACACCTTCACTAGTTACACGAACACCCCCATCGAGATAATAAGTGGGGATTGCACTGTTGAACCGCGGCTCACCGAGCACAGTGATTACGTAGATGATTCCTTTGAAAGCGTTCAAGTATCACTATTCCATTGAACTTGCTGAAACTGCCCGGAAGTAGTGGAACGTTCCTTTAGAGACCGAGTCGAAAACTCGCTTGCTGTATTATCTGTATTGGTTTGTAGCGGTAGGAACTGCGTCAACCCATTAACATTATATGTTTTTTCTTGGGAATCGTAATTTTCGAACGCATGGATGTAGAATGATGCTCCTTATGAGCCTTTCCATCACCGGACGGAGAGAAAAGTTGTTTAAGTGGGCGACTTCGCTCTAGAGAAGAGGAGCCAATTGGACGCACGTGCAGCGTAAAGATTCGGTGGTCTAACTTAGTTGGGGGGGGCCACGCGGCGGCGCGGCAGTCTGCTCGCCTGGCATGTTTCGGAAATCCGTGGGCCAGGGGGAGTGTAGCCAGTCTAGGGGGGGGGGGGGCAGTCACTTGACATGCGTGAAAAGCTGGAATGTTCGAGTTTACACTGTCTCGCTCGAGAGAGCCCAGGTGAGCAGACTGCCGCGCCGCCGCGTGCCCCCCCCAACTAAGTTAGCACCGAAAAACAACAAGAGAATGAAGATTCTGTGGGTGGAAAGAGTCTGGTGGTGTCTGCTGCATTTTTAACACAAAGGACGAAAGGGACTAGGAGCCAAGTAAAAGTTCGTATCAATCTTTCTGAATCTGTAATATAGTCAGCGTGGAAATAAAAGCACAGGAAACCGGTTCAGGGAAGTGACTTTGACCTGCTGTGGATTACATCCGAACTTACGACGTAAATAGACTGGCTGCCGATAGTAAGGCACAACCCAGGCAGAGGTTTTTTATAACTCTTCTCTTCGGTCAGAAGTATAGAACCCTAGGGGACAATCACAAATGTGGCGTTCACGTGCACGGAATTCGACCGACAAGAACGCTTTGGGCTTGCAAAGTAAGCTGCTCGAGCTGCAGCGAACGAGCTCTCTTATCAGGCCGTTGTCTGGTGCTCTCTCATCTGATGCGCTCTCTCGCCCCATACTCTCCTCTTCGCGCTTAGTCTCTCGTTCCTTTAGCACAGCCAATTAGGAAGGTGAGTGAGCCCTCAACCTGAGCGTTTTCGACGGATTCTTTTCCTTTTTTCTTCACTGCCGGCCCACTTGGCACCGATACATTCACATTCGTGTGCAAGAGCCACACCAGTGCGATCCTGGGGCATGCCTTTAAGCCACACTTGTTGATTTATTTAATAATGAATTTCAATTTCGGTCTTACTTTCAGCGTTTTCGCCGCTAAAGGTTTGGGGAGAAATTTCGTAAATAATTCACTAGTTGTTTTTAGTTTTTTTGGTAGTGAAACGGCCAGCTAGATGGCTGAGGTTGAAGAGGAGATGGAAGTGGATGCGGATGTGGGAGAATCAACATTTCCATAGTCCACGAAGAAAGCGACCACATAACAACGCTGACTCGCAAATTAGTAGGAAAGTAATGAGGTCTGCAGCCGCTGCACCTGAAGTTACCCAAGGATTTAGTAGGGGTAAGTAGTTGTGATGTTTCGTCTTAAACCACAAATCTTCTTCTTTGTCTCTTACTTTTCTGTTCTTTTTACATGACTTTTCATAGTTTACTTTGTGGAATAACTTTTTCCAGGTTTCTTGGAAGTTGCTGGCCGTGTCGCTGGCGTAGAACTAGAAAATTTTATGTGCCATGGTCGACTAAAAGTCGATTTTGATACCGCTAATAACAACTGCTTCTACATCGGGGGACCAAACGGAAGTGAGTTCGGTTGCCTTTTGTGTTATATGATATGTCGTTCATGCCTACAGAGTACATGTGATTAAGGTGGTAAAAGCGCCCTTTTTGCTTCCTTGAATATAGGCCTCGGTGGTCGAGGAAACGATAATGACCGTGGACCATCCGTGAAAACCTACATTAAAGAAGGTAAAAAGTAAGTCAGCGATTTATATGTACTTGTTTTTCTTCAGTGCAATATACTTTTTTGTAATTTCGGTTTTTCTGAAAATATTTCCTCTACTTATTTCATTTTTGATTAAGAAAGCTGTAAATACAGGAAAATTGGTGAAAGGCCTTTTCGAGGTGTCGTTTTGAAGAATTTATGACTATATGTATAATACGACACATACAGAAATCTTCCTGCTTGATTTTTTGAAGCTATTCTCATGGTCGAAGATCCTTTTTTACTGATTTGCAATATTTGTTAGTACTTTAGCACGGATCAGACAGAGTATGTTAGTGACTGATCTTTTTCCACATTACTATCAGGCTGAATCTGTTGCTCTTGTCTTTTTCATTGAGTGAGAAGAATTAATTTTGAAGGTTTTCAATAAACAAAGCCTTTTTCATAGCTCATTAAAGATCTTCTTACTCACTTTTATCCTTTCTCTTTACTTTTATGTCAGGATTTTGTTTTCATTTCAGCAAGGCCAAAATTCGATTAATTTTGACAAATAGAGGATTGGGAAGCCACCCGGACTACGGAGACTTCGTAGTAGTTGAACGAACAATCACTCCATCTTCCTCGACTTACATCCTCAAAAGTATTACTGGC